AGCAGTTCCTTTAATAATACTTCTTTTGAGGAGGTGGAATACATTTGTGTTGGTTTCATTTCCTTTTAAATTCCTCTATCATCTTGATCAGAATCATATTTTGTAACAGAAGAGATCTAGATCTCTTTCCTCCAACCTCAACCTTGCTTAATTTTCACTCTAAAGAAGAAGCTGTTAGAAAAATACTTTTAAAAAGTAGCTATAAATAGATACAGTGTTAGTTTTAATTAGCAGGCACACGGCAGTGAAATGAGGCTGTGCTGGCCTCCAGTTTGTGAAAATCTGAAGGATGGATATTTAAATATACATCAATTTAAATTTGACTCTGAGAGAACTGAAGTTAGTCCCTTTTATGACTAAATAATAAGAAAACATACGACTAGCTGAGCTAGCAGAACAGAATAATGAATCGCTCCCTGTTAGGTGCTCATGGTTGTTGCATATCCTACGGTTTCTTGGATGGAGGAGAAATTGAAGACAGACAGTAGCTGTGGCAGATGTCAGAGGGTTCCAAAAGTGGAAATACCTTCCCACAGGCAGAATTCTGTGTAGTCAAGGCTCGTGGATGTGATGCACTCAGGGAGCCACACTGATCACTGAAAGGCCCAGTATCTCTGTGGCACAAGGCAGACCCAAAGTAGTCTTTGCCAGTCTTCCTTGATGTTATGTGTGTGAGAAACATGGCATACAGGTAAGCATGTACTTCTGGGAGATACTGGATGACCTAACTGGTTGGCTGGTTGGGGGCTGAATGTAGACAAAGGCTTGATCTGCCTGGTTTACAGTTGGGAAGGTGTCATTTTAGTTGTACCAGTTTTCAAAGAACCTATTCATTACACAAGCATGAGCAGAAAGAAAACACTTCTAAATATAGCTGTTATTTTTTTCCATTTAAAAACGTGGATCTTTTCCAGAGTGCAGTGGTGTGTTTGAACTGCTGAAGGGATTTGGTTAACTGACTAGCACGTGGGAGGTAAAGGAATGTTTTCAGGCACTAAAACGTGAATATCGATCTGAATGAAGAAATACTGGAGGGTAAACTAACACATAGGAACATCAGTCCTTCTGTTAACATCCCACAGAAGCAGAGTTTACCCACAGACATTGGAAGTGCTGGTTCTCAGTAAGGAAAAAAATCAGTAGAAGATATTATTCCATGTATTCCTAAGAAATTGTGATGTGAAAATAATAGGCATGATGTTGGATCCTGTAAAGAAAAGGAGGAGTCTTCACCTTTTATTTGAAATAAGGCTCTAAAATAAACCAAAACTACCTCAAAGTTAGGGCAAATTCTATTTCTGTAATAGAAAACTGAAATACTCCTGCTGAGTTTTGATGCTTTTTGCTTAAAATTGAGTGTTCTCTACATACTCAAAAATATATAATCCCACTGTTGTGCATCAGATAAAAGGATAACAGGGATCATCAGGATGCTGGCGTTTGAGCTCCCTTCATTTCCTAAGCAGCTTTTTTTTTTGCCTTTGTTTCTCTTGCCTTCAGCTTCAAGTAAATGTCAAATATTTTGAGATCTCAATGTTCTTGCTGTTGTGGAGTTATGTGGGTGTGCCCAAAGCCTCTGAAAGATGCCCAGTCTTGACAGCATGCTTTTTTGCCTTTGATTCAAAAAGATTGAAGTTTCTTCTGACACTTGCCTCACCTTGACCTGCTCCTTATGTTTGTGCACTGTGAGCTTGCACCTCTTCTGCCTCTGAGTTGAGATTAATTACAAGAAACTCAAAAAACCTCCAAGCTTTTAAAACTCAAGCACTATCTTGTTCCTAGTTAAGTGACTGCAGTGTTAACTCTTCATCCCAGAAGAAGAGTACTATAACCCGTCTGCCGTAGTATTGGACTTTCTCAGTTGTTGATCAACTGGAACATCTTAAATTTATCAGATTACAGGCATTTTTAAGGCCCCATCAGTTTTTAGTAGTCCATCTCAGTGTGACTACACCATGGATTTAGTACAAATCTCGAACCCAGCCTACTTTTCCTATTCATCTTCCTCTGACTTTGCAGCCTAAAGTGTGATTTCAGGGAATGGTAATGGAGAGTATTTACAGAAAAGAATATCAAGCTGAAGGAGGAAGAGGAGGCTGGGAAAGGAAGGAGGCATCTGGAGTTCAGTCTGAGCAGTAGTGTTAGCCTGTATCTACCTTGTACAGCTGGGAAACATCAATCTTATTTGCACAATGAACAGATGTGCAATGCAGTGGTCACAAACAAGGTAAAACTTACAAATATTTTTCTCTTGTATCATAATAGCATTTTTTCAGATGCTAAGGACTGCAGTTCATACCAGTTTCCTGAACTTGGTGAAGTGCTGTGTATAAACTTCGCCTAGAGGGGCACTTGCGTGCTCTAGGAGAATAAATTTATAGAGTTTAAAAGTTCAACTGCATGTTGTTGAGGCGAACAAAAACACAGTTTCAGAAGGAAGTGTCTAGAACTGTGTAATGTGGAGGAGGAGGTGGGTTCACAGAGCCTTTCATCTTCCAGAGCAATTCACGTTTGGGTTAAGGCTGAGCATTCAGTCGAAGACAAAAGGTTTGGAAGGAGGAATGGGAGTAGGAAATGAGGCAGGGAATTCTGTACATGTTAAATTTGGCAGAGGAGGGAAGTTTCACATGGAGAGGGGTTTGTGTTTGTCATTTTAGGTATGTCTGTAATGTTATGCTGCTGGGAGGAGTTGTTTCTGTCCTGTGTGAAAGCCAAGCATGGACGCCTAAAGAGGCTGTCTAGTGCAGTGTGTCCATTCAAGAATGTCTGAGTTTGCTGTTTAAACACAATTTGGATGCATATCCCTCCAAACTGTTCATAACGTTGCATCTTCCACTTCTGGGGTAGCAAGTTCTGGACCTGTTCTGCTTCTTTACTTGAACTTTGTGTTGGAAAAAAACGGGGCTTAGGAAACTACTGCAGTTCTGTTCCATGAAGCTCCCATGTTAGGCTGTGGTGTTTTCCTTCTCAAATTGTTTCTTTCTTACTGAATTGTTTTGTGTTTCTGCATTATGTCTTCACAAAAATCAAGTGTATACTCCCTGATATCCTTGGACTTGTAGATTCAGACCTGTTCTGTGGACCACATGAAATCTTCTGTTTTCCCTACTTTTTTTTCAATGCTTTCTGTATTTATTCACAATTCTTGGTTTTTTGAAGGTCTTGGTACCCCTGGTTCTGCTGCAGCAGTTTTTGATGGAGTTAACCAGACGAGGCCAGGAACCACTGAGCGCGCTCGTGAACTTCGGTGTGACATATCTAGAAGACTATTCTGCAGACTATATCATTCAACAAGGAGGCTGGGTAAGAAGACAATGTTTAATTTTCATACTTTGCTTAAAGCTTATCTCTTAAGTGTGATACTAGTTTTAACAGGAGCAGAGGCTAAGAAGGGTTGCTAGAAGTAAGCAGATGAGAGAAGGAATGCCCCAGAAAAAGTGGGGAAAAAAAAAAAGGCAGGAGGTCAGGACGATATAGTTGGAAAGGGATCTTGGGCCATCTATTTCACCTCTCTGCCCCAAGGCAGAGCTGACTTTTACCCATTTCTGATGTTGGCATTCGAGACCTTTGTGCTTGGATGCCAGTTTCCCCGGGCAGTCTGCTCCAGTTCTTTACAAGTCTGGTTTGTTGGATTTCCACTGAAATTGAAGAAGTCCTCAAGACGTCACCTGAGTTTTCACACACTGGGTGTTAAGATGCTCATCTGTTGCTGTAGGGTGAGCTTTTGTTTGTATGTTCTTTCCTGTTAATATACATACAGAATTGCATTTAGAAGCAAACACCCCTAATAAGAGATACCCTGCCTGAAAGGCTCATCTTTTTGACGTTATCTTCATACTCTGGTGACTGCTGCAAATGGTAAATGGGTTTTTTCCCTCTTAAATTTCAGAGGGTTTTTTAGGAGATAAATAATTGGGGAGCATTTAATACAGAAACATCAGTAGGTACTAATTGATTTTTATAATAAGCGATAAAATAGCTAATGCATATTGGATTTTATAGCTGTACAGGAACATGGACAGACTAAGCAATCAAGATGTCTTTGTGCTGCGTTTCCTTGTGGAAATCTTCCATTCATGGTAACCAATGTTCCTGAGTCATGACATGCTGAGGAAGTTTCATTTAAAAATACATCACAGAGGCAGCTGACAGCCAATGAGCTGGGTCTCAAAGGCAGAACTGTGCTAAAGGAGGCTGAGCTTTAGATTACGGGGTTTGGGAAGGATGCCAGATTTGAATGGAATTAATCTGGGATTAGTGAAGTGGCTCCAGCAAGATGATTTATTCTAAAAAGAAAAAGCTGTTCAGGAAACCCCAGTGATTAAAAAGGTGCTAGTAGCAAAAATCTCATTCAGACAGCTTCTCGTATTTCAGGACTTTACCTGAAGTTTTTTTTCTAAGAATAGTTTGTTCCAGAATTTCTGCATGTCTGCACTGTCCTATATCCTTCCCCTTCCCTGCAATGGTGGATAATGGTTTTCAAAGCCTTTGGGAGGGATTGTTTGTCTTTAATGGACAGAAACACTAACAGCATGCAGCCAAATGACCTTGGGCCGTTTGATAAATGCACTCGTGTTTCAAAGGCTTTTCATCACAGGGAGGGTCCTTACTTGCAGCTCTAAGACAGATGGATGTTAGGGTTATTTTCCTTTTTGTTTTGAACCTCAGGAAAGGCTGTGATCTGTTCTCTAGCCCCTGTTGGGAGCTTGCTAGAAACATACTTAATACAGCGCGAAGCCTCTGGAAACCAGCAGCTCCAAGGGAAAACCTCCCTCCAAGGGAGGAGGCTGTGCTCTGTGTTTGTGTGACTGTGCATGTACGCACGGATCCGGGCTCCGAGCTTGTCTGTGCACATCCAGCGAGGCATAAAATCGGAGCGACATAAGTGGTGCAGCAAACAAGCCAGAGCTATTTTTGCAACAGCGGAAGAGGCGAGGAAAGAGGCAAGGTGATGAAAATCCTTTCCAGCCCACTTCGTGCAGCTGCACTAACGCTTTGTGAGTGGCTCTGGGGATGGGGCCGGGGACCCACCGGACTTCTGGCTTTAGACGGAGGAAGAGAATATATGGAATATACGGTTTTATTGCTTTTTTTTTCTGTAAGGCAAATGTTCATTTTTACTGAGTGGCGTGCTTCCCCGTTTGTTCCCAGTCTGTGGGATGGGGTTCTGGGGATGGCAGTGCCAGGTGTGGGGTGCGGGTGGAAGAGTATCTGTCCAGTGAAGAGCAGCCTGGCAGGCTGTTAGCCATCACCAAGCTTTCTGCATGTTTTAAGATAAGCATCTGCCCCAGGGGCTCTGTGTGCTAGATCCAGTTGTCAGTGATACTTTGCTGGAGCCATAAGCTCCAGTGAATTATGTTACTGCCACAGTAAGAGGTTCAAGTTTTGTGTTATTCTGGAGCAGCGTGAAGATGGGGTTTTCCTACAGCTGCTAAGAGTTTACTTAAAACTGAGAAGACACAGAACAGCCTGACTGGTTTTTCATGGATCAGGAGCAAAGGAGAGCTTCACAGGAGTCAGCTTTTCAGGGGCAGACCTGAAAAATTCTGTATTGTCACTGGTGCTGTCTCTTCCCTTGGCACCACGTGATTTGGCATCTTCCTCCATTTTCGGATTGAAGTGAACCTTTGCCAGGAGGGAAGTAACCAGTCAAAGGTAAGGGATTGGCTGAGCCCTTCCTACACCTCACTGCGGGTCTGTGAAGTCAGAATTTTACAGAGCTGTGTCGTCCAGTGGGACTGCTTCCTGCGTCACGCTGTGCAGACGGCACGACGGGAAGAGCTGCCAAGGTTCTGCATGTGCGAGACTTCGGGTTGTTTCGTGGGCTCAGGAGGCTTTTAGGTCCAGATTGAGGATGGTGGACAACAGTTAATTGGAAGCAGAATTGCTAGCTCAAGGGAATAAATGTTGATAAATTGGATGGCAATGCAGTAGATTTCAAGAAATCTGCGTGGCTTGTGAGGAATAGGAAATTTGGAATATGAAAGGTAGAGCCTCTGAGATGAGACATTGCTTTTTGATTTTTTTCATTCCAGTCCTGCAGAGACAGGGGGACGAGATGATGTGTTGAATCAATGAGTGTTCCCCTTCCATTCTCCCTCCAGGCACTGGAATTGTAATTCAGCTAACTGTTCATGGTAGGGTGGGACTGGGATGTAGTTGCTGGCTGGTTGGTGAGAGAATGGCTGGCGTGTTTTTATATTCAAGTGCGTACAGTATTTTGCTAGTGTCATTCTGGCTGTTGTGTGTGCTGTTCCCCTTCCTCTTGGTCTGTTCTACTTCGTTAGGCTGAAAGTCTTCCAAGTAGGAATGTCCGCAGTGCACTGCGTATTGTGTTTGGATGCAGCTGGCAGTGAATGTATAGGTGAAACGACTCCTCCATCTAGTTTACAGTCTCTTAGATTTGCAGGTAAATTTGAGTTTGGAGGGCTGCAGGAAAGCAAGGAAATCTTGCTTTCTTGGGATGAGATGGTGTGTTGAATCAATGAGCGTTCCCCTTCCATTCTCCCTCCAGGCACTGAAATTGTGCCTGGAAATCTTGAAATCTTGCTTTCTTGTGGACAGCCTCCCTCTCACTAATTGCAGACAGGTTTGGCTGCAACTCTTATATTTACCCTGCTTGACTTTAAGTTTTAGTATGATCTCTCTTTTGGAGCAAAAAGCATGTTTGGCATTCTAGGGTCTCCTCTCCAAATAGACACATGTGGAGATACACATTTCCTCCTCCTGACTCTTTTTTTCAACACAAATAGTCATACCAAGATCTCATTCCCGTGTCATCTTGAACCATTGCAAACGGATTCCCAGCCTGATTTAGCAGTAGCTTTGTTCTTCTCTTTCCCAAAAGCAATGTCAGGGCTCAGCTAACTGACATGCTCACTCCTCCCCTTTCTTCCTCTCCCCTCCCTTCCCTCCTCATACCTCTCCTCCCTTTTTGCTCCGTCTGACTTGGCCAGGGCTGAATGCTGCTGCATCAGAAGCAATTCTTCGTCTCCTGGAAAAGTGCACAGTCCAGTCAGTTGGTAAGGACTTTTTTCCTCTTCCTTTCCCACCCTTCCTCCCAAATAATTTATTTCTTCTCAAGCTCTGCAGATCCTGTTTTCCGTGGTTAGATTTCATTTATGTTGAAATAGTCTGGGAATGTCTATAAGGAGAAAAAAGTATAAGATTACTTGGAAGCTAGCTGCTTTTTTTTTCCCCTCAGATTCACATTCATGTTACAAGCCCATCTGCTTTTCAGTTGTTTGCAAGAGGTGAAATAAGTGCCTGCAGATTGTGTTTGTCACTGGCATTCAGTTAACAATCTTTCTTCTCTCAGTATGAGGCTGATATTTGGATTTGTGACCCGTGGCTGAAATCGTCTCTGCCTTCCCAGGGCTCTTGTCTCATGATGTTCAGATCTGGATTTCAATTAACTAGTTATCTGCCCATGTTGAAGAAAGCAAAACTAAATTTGCTCGAAATACGCGTAGTGTTGAGAGTTTCATGTCTCAGCCTTAGAAGAGCTGTTCTCTGCTTCCAATGTTTTGTCTTGGGCTTTTCTGCCGGTTTTGACATTTTCTTTGCTGCTGCTGATTGAATAATCGAGGTACTAGAGTCTGTTAACAATCCAGAGGAGAAAAAGAGCAATCCTTGGGGAGCAAGGCAGCCAGTTTGTGCTGCTGGAGATGAGAATCTCCTTCTGCAGCAGCCCAGGTGTCTGCCTTGAGAATGACAATGCAGAAATAGAGGGACGTGCTCCACTGAAGGAGAGGTCAGTTCAGTTTAGGATGATAGAGATGCAAGAAAGGGCAATTTAATTAGAGAAGTCCTAGAAAGAAGTTCTCCTTTCAAAATAATTCTCCTATACGCTTTTATCACAGACCACAGCAGCGAAACAGCCACTCTTGTTCATTTGTGACTTCTTTGGTACAGTAATGGAATTTTTTATGTTTTAGGCTCTGTGGCTGAAGGAGAAGGAACTTAAATGGTGGAGGAGCAACTAGATCTCCTTTCTTTTTCCCCTTCCCACAACTTCAGATCAGTCTGTCCGAAGAAGTGGTCTCTAAATAGCTGAATTTACAACAATTTAAACTGCTAAGACTGAAACCTTAAAGGGTTTTGTGCTTTGGTGCTGGCTCTCTGCAGGTAGTAGAGGTTATGCTGGAGGGCAGGGGAAGGAATAGGATAATTTCTGCAGGCTGTTCTAGCCAAAGCATTCCTTGAAGGGGATGAGAGCAGTGCCTGCAGTATCTGTGTGATTTGATTTGATTCACATGACTTTTTTCCCCCCCTCTTCTTTTTTATTTATTTTGTCCTTAATA